GAAGCCCTGTTTTCTCCCTGCAGGGTACTGTCTGGAATCCATGGATAGCGAGTCTGGACTTTTGTCGGATGTCAGAGGTAGAGGTTCAGTGTTGCCGGACAAAACCAAAGGTGACATCCAACTGACAGACCTTTCCCATCACTCCGGAAGCAGAAGAGCCTTCCAGTCTAGACAGTGATTTCAATGGACGTGTCATTGCCAGAAGCCATCAGGTTCAGGCTGCAATCCACAATATCCTCCACCACTCCGACAGGTGCTGGAGAAGAAATTACGCCTCTTGAAATCACTCTGACTTTGCTTGTAAAGAAGCCAGGAGATAGCGACTTCACGCCCGTGTTTGGAAGGGGACACTACTCAAAAGAGGTAAGAAAGCCCCCAAATCAACAGAATCGGGTTACACTCACTTTGCCCACTTTGCTTTCCCAGTTGTCCAGTATCTCATTTCTAAATGACTAAATTCTAAGCATGTTTGGCCCTCTTCATTGCACAGATTTTCAGAGTCACCCTGACAGCGACTTGCCTGAGAGACTGCTGCTCCCGAGCGATGACACAGCTCTGAAGGGCATTGAGCAGTTGCGTATTGAGTTTCCAAACTGTGGACGGTGGTGAATCAGCAAGACTGCAAGTGGAGGTTCTGGGATGTGCAGAAGGTAGGCTGCCCTAAAGGTTATTTTCATGTGTTTGTTTTGCTTGTTGGCTTTTTTATATGTTATTTACGGTTTCATCAAGTACATTTTGTCTGAAGTTGAACCTTGCAAGTTGCACGGAAAAAAACATTTGATGATATGACCTCGGGCCAAAGGTCTCACTACTTGCAAAATGCAAGGTATCTTTTCATCGGCTCATCCAAGTACATATTTGTGTGTTGCATTCTTTAGAATACACAACAACTGAAATGACCACTAAAGTCACCACTGTCACAACACCGACAACAACTGTCAGCGAAGAAACAACAAGCTCCCGAACCACGACGTCACAAATGTCAACTACTCCAGGTGAATAGTGTGGACGTGAACTTTTTACTAAAATTATCACCCTCGGACATTTCCATACCACCTCTCATCAAGCTTTTTCCACCCGAAATTACGCATGTCAGTGCTTTCTTTTCTGCATTTACCAACCGTTTCTCTGGATATTCTCAATGCAGGTTACTGTCTAGAGCCCATGGATGGGGAAAAGGGACTTGAACCTGAAGTTAAGGCGGCTGGAGATCTCACAATTGATAGTCAGACCTCCTACTTGACAATCACCCAGTGGCCAATTGACCCAAGCTCAAGTGATATCCCCAGCGTAGAGCTCCTCTTCCGTCAACCCATCAAGGTCACAGCAGTAGTCTTAGCCTCGCGTTCTCCTCAAGCAACAAGTGCACCCACGGGTCAGCCAGCAGCAAGCACAACCACATCCAGGACTGCTGCAGGGGAGAGGCTGACTGAGGTCACCCCACTCTGTCCACCAAGAAGCCCGACGATGATGAATTCACTACACTGGTTGATGATAACACCAACCAGCCCAAGGTATTAATACAGCCGTGTTAAACACTTGGCATTGCTTCTTTCTACGACCAGCTGTGTGTCCTTGATTTTGTTTCGCTCAGTTGTTTACATCCAGCTCCTGTTTTTCTTCTCAAGCCCAACACTGACCAATGTACTGACCAGGGCATTTTTCTCCCATCTTTTCCAGTTGATAACTGTCCGTCTGGAAGGAGACCAACCCGAAATCAAGTACTTGCCGATAGATGAAGACACACTGGATGGCATCACTGAACTGCGCGTACAATTCCAGTCTGTCAGTGACGATGACGCAACAACATTTGAGTTACATGTTCTGGTTTGCATCAAAGGTAGACCTTTAGAAATGTTCTTTTATTGTCTAAAACTCGAAAAGATATCTTCAGAACACTTTGTCCTGTTATTCGGCACCAACATCCCGAATGTCACCGTTCAGGCGATCTAAATAAACCACCAAAAGATGTAATTTTGTTTCCTCGCAGACTATTCTGTCAAAGACTTTATGCTTTAAATACACATTTCTCAACATTATTACCATTTTGCATAGAATACACCACTCAGCCGAGCCGACACAAGAACCACCAGTGTCACCACCACTCTGATAACCACGACTCCTCCCTCATCAACAACCAAGGTAAAGCAGGCCCAGTCATTGAAGATTAAATTGCCAACTCTTTTGCATCGACATCTCCATAGGTTTTGCTTGTGTTGGAAATGGGTTCTGTCTGGTGCCTGGAAACGTTTGCAGTTTATATCCCACTTGACCCAAATCGTTGGCTGTGTCTTGACGGAAGCCCTGTTTCTCCTCCCTGCAGGGTACTGTCTGGAATCCATGGATAGCGAGTCTGGACTTTTGTCGGATGTCAGAGGTAGAGGTTCAGTGTTGCCGGACAAAACCAAAGGTGACATCCAACTGACAGACCTTCCCATCACTCCGGAAGCAGAAGAGCCTTCCAGTCTAGACAGTGATTTCAATGGACGTGTCATTGCCAGAGCCATCAGGTTCAGGCTGCAATCCACAATATCCTCCACCACTCCGAAGGTGCTGGAGAAGAAATTACGCCTCTTGAAATCACTCTGACTTTGCTTGTTAAGAAGCCAGGAGATAGCGACTTCACGCCCGTTTTGGAAGGGGACACTACTCAAAAGAAGGTAAGAAAGCCCCAAAATCAACAGAATCGGGTTACACTCACTTTGCCCACTTTGCTTTCCCAGTTGTCCAGTATCTCATTTCTAAATGACTAAATTCTAAGCATGTTTGGTCCTCTTCATTGCACAGATTTTCAGAGTCACCCCTTGACAGCGACTTGCCTGAGAGACTGCTGCTCCCGAGCGATGACACAGCTCTGAAGGGCATTGAGCAGTTGCGTATTGAGTTCCAAACTGTGACCGGTGGTGAATCAGCAAGACTGCAAGTGGAGGTTCTGGGATGTGCAGAAGGTAGGCTGCCCTAAAGGTTATTTTCATGTGTTTGTTTTGCTTGTTGGCTTTTTTATATGTTATTTACGGTTTCATCAAGTACATTTTGTCTGAAGTTGAACCTTGCAAGTTGCACACGGAAAAAAACAGTTTGATGATATGACCTCGGGCCAAAGGTCTCACTACTTGCAAAATGCAAGGTATCTTTTTCATCGGCTCATCCAAGTACATATTTGTGTTTGCATTCTTTAGAATACACAACAACTGAAATGACCACTAAAGTCACCACTGTCACAACACCGACAACAACTGTCAGCGAAGAAACAACAAGCTCCCGAACCACGACGTCACAAATGTCAACTACTCCAGGTGAATAGTGTGGACGTGAACTTTTTACTAAAATTATCACCCTCGGACATTTCCATACCACCTCTCATCAAGCTTTTTCCACCCGAAATTACGCATGTCAGTGCTTTCTTTTCTGCATTTACCAACCGTTTCTGGATATTCTCAATGCAGGTTACTGTCTAGAGCCCATGGATGGGGAAAAGGGACTTGAACCTGAAGTTAAGGCGGCTGGAGATCTCACAATTGATAGTCAGACCTCCTACTTGACAATCACCCAGTTGCCAATTGACCCAAGCTCAAGTGATATCCCCAGCGTAGAGCTCCTCTTCCGTCAACCCATCAAGGTCACAGCAGTAGTCTTAGCCTCGCGTTCTCCTCAAGCAACAAGTGCACCCACGGGTCAGCCAGCAGCAAGCACAACCACATCCAGGACTGCTGCAGGGGAGAGGCTGACTGAGGTCACCCTCACTCTGTCCACCAAGAAGCCCGACGATGATGAATTCACTACACTGGTTGATGATAACACCAACCAGCCCAAGGTATTAATACAGCCGTGTTAAACACTTGGCATTGCTTCTTTCTACGACCAGCTTGTGTCCTTGATTTTGTTTCGCTCAGTTGTTTACATCCAGGCTCCTGTTTTTCTTCTCAAGCCCAACACTGACCAATGTACTGACCAGGGCATTTTTCTCCATCTTTTCCAGTTGATAACTGTCCGTCTGGAAGGAGACCAACCCGAAATCAAGTACTTGCCGATAGATGAAGACACACTGGATGGCATCACTGAACTGCGCGTACAATTCCAGTCTGTCAGTGACGATGACGCAACAACATTTGAGTTACATGTTCTGGGTTGCATCAAAGGTAGACCTTTAGAAATGTTCTTTTATTGTCTAAAACTCGAAGATATCTTCAGAACACTTTGTCCTGTTATTCGGCACCAACATCCGAATGTCACCGTTCAGGCGATCTAAATAAACCACCAAAAGATGTAATTTTGTTTCCTCGCAGACTATTCTGTCAAAGACTTTATGCTTTAAATACACATTTCTCAACATTATTACCATTTTGCATAGAATACACCACTCAGCCGACGACAAGAACCACCAGTGTCACCACCACTCTGATAACCACGACTCCTCCCTCATCAACAACCCAAGGTAAAGCAGGCCCAGTCATTGAAGATTAAATTGCCAACTCTTTTGCATCGACATCTCCATAGGTTTTGCTTGTGTTTGGAAATGGGTTCTGTCTGGTGCCTGGAAACGTTTGCAGTTTATATCCCACTTGACCCAAATCGTTGGCTGTGTCTTGACGGAAGCCCTGTTTTCTCCCTGCAGGGTACTGTCTGGAATCCATGGATAGCGAGTCTGGACTTTGTCGGATGTCAGAGGTAGAGGTTCAGTGTTGCCGGACAAAACCAAAGGTGACATCCAACTGACAGACCTTCCCATCACTCCGGAAGCAGAAGAGCCTTCCAGTCTAGACAGTGATTTCAATGGACGTGTCATTGCCAGAGCCATCAGGTTCAGGCTGCAATCCACAATATCCTCCACCACTCCCGACAGGTGCTGGAGAAGAAATTACGCCTCTTGAAATCACTCTGACTTTGCTTGTTAAGAAGCCAGGAGATAGCGACTTCACGCCCGTTTTGGAAGGGGACACTACTCAAAAGAAGGTAAGAAAGCCCCCAAATCAACAGAATCGGGTTACACTCACTTTGCCCACTTTGCTTTCCCAGTTGTCCAGTATCTCATTTCTAAATGACTAAATTCTAAGCATGTTTGGCCCTCTTCATTGCACAGATTTTCAGAGTCACCCTTGACAGCGACTTGCCTGAGAGACTGCTGCTCCCGAGCGATGACACAGCTCTGAAGGGCATTGAGCAGTTGCGTATTGAGTTCCAAACTGTGACCGGGTGTGAATCAGCAAGACTGCAAGTGGAGGTTCTGGGATGTGCAGAAGGTAGGCTGCCCTAAAGGTTATTTTCATGTGTTTGTTTTGCTTGTTGGCTTTTTTATATGTTATTTACGGTTTCATCAAGTACATTTTGTCTGAAGTTGAACCTTGCAAGTTGCACGGAAAAAAACAGTTTGATGATATGACCTCGGGCCAAAGGTCTCACTACTTGCAAAATGCAAGGTATCTTTTTCATCGGCTCATCCAAGTACATATTTGTGTTTGCATTCTTTAGAATACACAACAACTGAAATGACCACTAAAGTCACCACTGTCACAACACCGACAACAACTGTCAGCGAAGAAACAACAAGCTCCCGAACCACGACGTCACAAAGTCAACTACTCCAGGTGAATAGTGTGGACGTGAACTTTTTACTAAAATTATCACCCTCGGACATTTCCATACCACCTCTCATCAAGCTTTTTCCACCCGAAATTACGCATGTCAGTGCTTTCTTTTCTGCATTTACCAACCGTTTCTGGATATTCTCAATGCAGGTTACTGTCTAGAGCCCATGGATGGGAAAAGGGACTTGAACCTGAAGTTAAGGCGGCTGGAGATCTCACAATTGATAGTCAGACCTCCTACTTGACAATCACCCAGTTGCCAATTGACCCAAGCTCAAGTGATATCCCCAGCGTAGAGCTCCTCTTCCGTCAACCCATCAAGGTCACAGCAGTAGTCTTAGCCTCGCGTTCTCCTCAAGCAACAAGTGCACCCACGGGTCAGCCAGCAGCAAGCACAACACATCCAGGACTGCTGCAGGGGAGAGGCTGACTGAGGTCACCCTCACTCTGTCCACCAAGAAGCCCGACGATGATGAATTCACTACACTGGTTGATGATAACACCAACCAGCCAAGGTATTAATACAGCCGTGTTAAACACTTGGCATTGCTTCTTTCTACGACCAGCTTGTGTCCTTGATTTTGTTTCGCTCAGTTGTTTACATCCAGGCTCCTGTTTTTCTTCTCAAGCCCAACACTGACCAATGTACTGACCAGGGCATTTTTTCTCCCATCTTTTCCAGTTGATAACTGTCCGTCTGGAAGGAGACCAACCCGAAATCAAGTACTTGCCGATAGATGAAGACACACTGGATGGCATCACTGAACTGCGCGTACAATTCCAGTCTGTCAGTGACGATGACGCAACAACATTTGAGTTACATGTTCTGGGTTGCATCAAAGGTAGACCTTTAGAAATGTTCTTTTATTGTCTAAAACTCGAAAGATATATTCAGAACACTTTGTCCTGTTATTCGGCACCAACATCCGAATGTCACCGTTCAGGCGATCTAAATAAACCACCAAAAGATGTAATTTTGTTTCCTCGCAGACTATTCTGTCAAAGACTTTATGCTTTAAATACACATTTCTCAACATTATTACCATTTTGCATAGAATACACCACTCAGCCGACGACAAGAACCACCAGTGTCACCACCACTCTGATAACCACGACTCCTCCCTCATCAACAACCCAAGGTAAAGCAGGCCCAGTCATTGAAGATTAAATTGCCAACTCTTTTGCATCGACATCTCCATAGGTTTTGCTTGTGTTGGAAATGGGTTCTGTCTGGTGCCTGGAAACGTTTGCAGTTTATATCCCACTTGACCCAAATCGTTGGCTGTGTCTTGACGGAAGCCCTGTTTTCTCCCTGCAGGGTACTGTCTGGAATCCATGGATAGCGAGTCTGGACTTTTGTCGGATGTCAGAGGTAGAGGTTCAGTGTTGCCGGACAAAACCAAAGGTGACATCCAACTGACAGACCCTTCCCATCACTCCGGAAGCAGAAGAGCCTTCCAGTCTAGACAGTGATTTCAATGGACGTGTCATTGCCAGAGCCATCAGGTTCAGGCTGCAATCCACAATATCCTCCACCACTCCGACAGGTGCTGGAGAAGAAATTACGCCTCTTGAAATCACTCTGACTTTGCTTGTAAAGAAGCCAGGAGATAGCGACTTCACGCCCGTTTTGGAAGGGGACACTACTCAAAAGAAGGTAAGAAAGCCCCCAAATCAACAGAATCGGGTTACACTCACTTTGCCCACTTTGCTTTCCCAGTTGTCCAGTATCTCATTTCTAAATGACTAAATTCTAAGCATGTTTGGCCCTCTTCATTGCACAGATTTTCAGAGTCACCCTTGACAGCGACTTGCCTGAGAGACTGCTGCTCCCGAGCGATGACACAGCTCTGAAGGGCATTGAGCAGTTGCGTATTGAGTTCCAAACTGTGACCGGTGGTGAATCAGCAAGACTGCAAGTGGAGGTTCTGGGATGTGCAGAAGGTAGGCTGCCCTAAAGGTTATTTTCATGTGTTTGTTTTGCTTGTTGGCCTTTTTATATGTTATTTACGGTTTCATCAAGTACATTTTGTCTGAAGTTGAACCTTGCAAGTTGCACGGAAAAAAACAGTTTGATGATATGACCTCGGGCCAAAGGTCTCACTACTTGCAAAATGCAAGGTATCTTTTTCATCGGCTCATCCAAGTACATATTTGTGTTTGCATTCTTTAGAATACACAACAACTGAAATGACCACTAAAGTCACCACTGTCACAACACCGACAACAACTGTCAGCGAAGAAACAACAAGCTCCCGAACCACGACGTCACAAATGTCAACTACTCCAGGTGAATAGTGTGGACGTGAACTTTTTACTAAAATTATCACCCTCGGACATCATTTCCATACCACCTCTCATCAAGCTTTTTCCACCCGAAATTACGCATGTCAGTGCTTTCTTTTCTGCATTTACCAACCGTTTCTGGATATTCTCAATGCAGGTTACTGTCTAGAGCCCATGGATGGGGAAAAGGGACTTGAACCTGAAGTTAAGGCGGCTGGAGATCTCACAATTGATAGTCAGACCTCCTACTTGACAATCACCCTTGCCAATTGACCCAAGCTCAAGTGATATCCCCAGCGTAGAGCTCCTCTTCCGTCAACCCATCAAGGTCACAGCAGTAGTCTTAGCCTCGCGTTCTCCTCAAGCAACAAGTGCACCCACGGGTCAGCCAGCAGCAAGCACAACCACATCCAGGACTGCTGCAGGGGAGAGGCTGACTGAGGTCACCCTCACTCTGTCCACCAAGAAGCCCGACGATGATGAATTCACTACACTGGTTGATGATAACACCAACCAGCCCAAGGTATTAATACAGCCGTGTTAAACACTTGGCATTGCTTCTTTCTACGACCAGCTTGTGTCCTTGATTTTGTTTCGCTCAGTTGTTTACATCCAGGCTCCTGTTTTTCTTCTCAGCCCAACACTGACCAATGTACTGACCAGGGCATTTTTCTCCCATCTTTTCCAGTTGATAACTGTCCGTCTGGAAGGAGACCAACCCGAAATCAAGTACTTGCCGATAGATGAAGACACACTGGATGGCATCACTGAACTGCGCGTACAATTCCAGTCTGTCAGTGACGATGACGCAACATTTGAGTTACATGTTCTGGGTTGCATCAAAGGTAGACCTTTAGAAATGTTCTTTTATTGTCTAAAACTCGAAAGATATATTCAGAACACTTTGTCCTGTTATTCGGCACCAACATCCGAATGTCACCGTTCAGGCGATCTAAATAAACCACCAAAAGATGTAATTTTGTTTCCTCGCAGACTATTCTGTCAAAGACTTTATGCTTTAAATACACATTTCTCAACATTATTACCATTTTGCATAGAATACACCACTCAGCCGACGACAAGAACCACCAGTGTCACCACCACTCTGATAACCACGACTCCTCCCTCATCAACAACCCAAGGTAAAGCAGGCCCAGTCATTGAAGATTAAATTGCCAACTCTTTTGCATCGACATCTCCATAGGTTTTGCTTGTGTTGGAAATGGGTTCTGTCTGGTGCCTGGAAACGTTTGCAGTTTATATCCCACTTGACCCAAATCGTTGGCTGTGTCTTGACGGAAGCCCTGTTTTCTCCCTGCAGGGTACTGTCTGGAATCCATGGATAGCGAGTCTGGACTTTTGTCGGATGTCAGAGGTAGAGGTTCAGTGTTGCCGGACAAAACCAAGGTGACATCCAACTGACAGACCTTCCCATCACTCCGGAAGCAGAAGAGCCTTCCAGTCTAGACAGTGATTTCAATGGACGTGTCATTGCCAGAGCCATCAGGTTCAGGCTGCAATCCACAATATCCTCCACCACTCCGACAGGTGCTGGAGAAGAAATTACGCCTCTTGAAATCACTCTGACTTTGCTTGTAAAGAAGCCAGGAGATAGCGACTTCACGCCCGTTTTGGAAGGGGACACTACTCAAAAGAAGGTAAGAAAGCCCCCAAATCAACAGAATCGGGTTACACTCACTTTGCCCACTTTGCTTTCCCAGTTGTCCAGTATCTCATTTCTAAATGACTAAATTCTAAGCATGTTTGGCCCTCTTCATTGCACAGATTTTCAGAGTCACCCTTGACAGCGACTTGCCTGAGAGACTGCTGCTCCCGAGCGATGACACAGCTCTGAAGGGCATTGAGCAGTTGCGTATTGAGTTCCAAACTGTGACCGGTGGTGAATCAGCAAGACTGCAAGTGGAGGTTCTGGGATGTGCAGAAGGTAGGCTGCCCTAAAGGTTATTTTCATGTGTTTGTTTTGCTTGTTGGCTTTTTTATATGTTATTTACGGTTTCATCAAGTACATTTTGTCTGAAGTTGAACCTTGCAAGTTGCACGGAAAAAAACAGTTTGATGATATGACCTCGGGCCAAAGGTCTCACTACTTGCAAAATGCAAGGTATCTTTTTCATCGGCTCATCCAAGTACATATTTGTGTTTGCATTCTTTAGAATACACAACAACTGAAATGACCACTAAAGTCACCACTGTCACAACACCGACAACAACTGTCAGCGAAGAAACAACAAGCTCCCGAACCACGACGTCACAAATGTCAACTACTCCAGGTGAATAGTGTGGACGTGAACTTTTTACTAAAATTATCACCCTCGGACATTTCCATACCACCTCTCATCAAGCTTTTTCCACCCGAAATTACGCATGTCAGTGCTTTCTTTTCTGCATTTACCAACCGTTTCTGGATATTCTCAATGCAGGTTACTGTCTAGAGCCCATGGATGGGGAAAAGGGACTTGAACCTGAAGTTAAGGCGGCTGGAGATCTCACAATTGATAGTCAGACCTCCTACTTGACAATCACCCAGTTGCCAATTGACCCAAGCTCAAGTGATATCCCCAGCGTAGAGCTCCTCTTCCGTCAACCCATCAAGGTCACAGCAGTAGTCTTAGCCTCGCGTTCTCCTCAAGCAACAAGTGCACCCACGGGTCAGCCAGCAGCAAGCACAACCACATCCAGGACTGCTGCAGGGGAGAGGCTGACTGAGGTCACCCTCACTCTGTCCACCAAGAAGCCCGACGATGATGAATTCACTACACTGGTTGATGATAACACCAACCAGCCCAAGGTATTAATACAGCCGTGTTAAACACTTGGCATTGCTTCTTTCTACGACCAGCTTGTGTCCTTGATTTTGTTTCGCTCAGTTGTTTACATCCAGGCTCCTGTTTTTCTTCTCAAGCCCAACACTGACCAATGTACTGACCAGGGCATTTTTCTCCCATCTTTTCCAGTTGATAACTGTCCGTCTGGAAGGAGACCAACCCGAAATCAAGTACTTGCCGATAGATGAAGACACACTGGATGGCATCACTGAACTGCGCGTACAATTCCAGTCTGTCAGTGACGATGACGCAACAACATTTGAGTTACATGTTCTGGGTTGCATCAAAGGTAGACCTTTAGAAATGTTCTTTTATTGTCTAAAACTCGAAAGATATATTCAGAACACTTTGTCCTGTTATTCGGCACCAACATCCGAATGTCACCGTTCAGGCGATCTAAATAAACCACCAAAAGATGTAATTTTGTTTCCTCGCAGACTATTCTGTCAAAGACTTTATGCTTTAAATACACATTTCTCAACATTATTACCATTTTGCATAGAATACACCACTCAGCCGACGACAAGAACCACCAGTGTCACCACCACTCTGATAACCACGACTCCTCCCTCATCAACAACCCAAGGTAAAGCAGGCCCAGTCATTGAAGATTAAATTGCCAACTCTTTTGCATCGACATCTCCATAGGTTTTGCTTGTGTTGGAAATGGGTTCTGTCTGGTGCCTGGAAACGTTTGCAGTTTATATCCCACTTGACCCAAATCGTTGGCTGTGTCTTGACGGAAGCCCTGTTTTCTCCCTGCAGGGTACTGTCTGGAATCCATGGATAGCGAGTCTGGACTTTTGTCGGATGTCAGAGGTAGAGGTTCAGTGTTGCCGGACAAAACCAAAGGTGACATCCAACTGACAGACCTTCCCATCACTCCGGAAGCAGAAGAGCCTTCCAGTCTAGACAGTGATTTCAATGGACGTGTCATTGCCAGAGCCATCAGGTTCAGGCTGCAATCCACAATATCCTCCACCACTCCGACAGGTGCTGGAGAAGAAATTACGCCTCTTGAAATCACTCTGACTTTGCTTGTTAAGAAGCCAGGAGATAGCGACTTCACGCCCGTTTTGGAAGGGGACACTACTCAAAAGAAGGTAAGAAAGCCCCCAAATCAACAGAATCGGGTTACACTCACTTTGCCCACTTTGCTTTCCCAGTTGTCCAGTATCTCATTTCTAAATGACTAAATTCTAAGCATGTTTGGCCCTCTTCATTGCACAGATTTTCAGAGTCACCCTTGACAGCGACTTGCCTGAGAGACTGCTGCTCCCGAGCGATGACACAGCTCTGAAGGGCATTGAGCAGTTGCGTATTGAGTTCCAAACTGTGACCGGTGGTGAATCAGCAAGACTGCAAGTGGAGGTTCTGGGATGTGCAGAAGGTAGGCTGCCCTAAAGGTTATTTTCATGTGTTTGTTTTGCTTGTTGGCTTTTTTATATGTTATTTACGGTTTCATCAAGTACATTTTGTCTGAAGTTGAACCTTGCAAGTTGCACGGAAAAAAACAGTTTGATGATATGACCTCGGGCCAAAGGTCTCACTACTTGCAAAATGCAAGGTATCTTTTTCATCGGCTCATCCAAGTACATATTTGTGTTTGCATTCTTTAGAATACACAACAACTGAAATGACCACTAAAGTCACCACTGTCACAACACCGACAACAACTGTCAGCGAAGAAACAACAAGCTCCCGAACCACGACGTCACAAATGTCAACTACTCCAGGTGAATAGTGTGGACGTGAACTTTTTACTAAAATTATCACCCTCGGACATTTCCATACCACCTCTCATCAAGCTTTTTCCACCCGAAATTACGCATGTCAGTGCTTTCTTTTCTGCATTTACCAACCGTTTCTGGATATTCTCAATGCAGGTTACTGTCTAGAGCCCATGGATGGGGAAAAGGGACTTGAACCTGAAGTTAAGGCGGCTGGAGATCTCACAATTGATAGTCAGACCTCCTACTTGACAATCACCCAGTTGCCAATTGACCCAAGCTCAAGTGATATCCCCAGCGTAGAGCTCCTCTTCCGTCAACCCATCAAGGTCACAGCAGTAGTCTTAGCCTCGCGTTCTCCTCAAGCAACAAGTGCACCCACGGGTCAGCCAGCAGCAAGCACAACCACATCCAGGACTGCTGCAGGGGAGAGGCTGACTGAGGTCACCCTCACTCTGTCCACCAAGAAGCCCGACGATGATGAATTCACTACACTGGTTGATGATAACACCAACCAGCCCAAGGTATTAATACAGCCGTGTTAAACACTTGGCATTGCTTCTTTCTACGACCAGCTTGTGTCCTTGATTTTGTTTCGCTCAGTTGTTTACATCCAGGCTCCTGTTTTTCTTCTCAAGCCCAACACTGACCAATGTACTGACCAGGGCATTTTTCTCCCATCTTTTCCAGTTGATAACTGTCCGTCTGGAAGGAGACCAACCCGAAATCAAGTACTTGCCGATAGATGAAGACACACTGGATGGCATCACTGAACTGCGCGTACAATTCCAGTCTGTCAGTGACGATGACGCAACAACATTTGAGTTACATGTTCTGGGTTGCATCAAAGGTAGACCTTTAGAAATGTTCTTTTATTGTCTAAAACTCGAAAGATATATTCAGAACACTTTGTCCTGTTATTCGGCACCAACATCCGAATGTCACCGTTCAGGCGATCTAAATAAACCACCAAAAGATGTAATTTTGTTTCCTCGCAGACTATTCTGTCAAAGACTTTATGCTTTAAATACACATTTCTCAACATTATTACCATTTTGCATAGAATACACCACTCAGCCGACGACAAGAACCACCAGTGTCACCACCACTCTGATAACCACGACTCCTCCCTCATCAACAACCCAAGGTAAAGCAGGCCCAGTCATTGAAGATTAAATTGCCAACTCTTTTGCATCGACATCTCCATAGGTTTTGCTTGTGTTGGAAATGGGTTCTGTCTGGTGCCTGGAAACGTTTGCAGTTTATATCCCACTTGACCCAAATCGTTGGCTGTGTCTTGACGGAAGCCCTGTTTTCTCCCTGCAGGGTACTGTCTGGAATCCATGGATAGCGAGTCTGGACTTTTGTCGGATGTCAGAGGTAGAGGTTCAGTGTTGCCGGACAAAACCAAAGGTGACATCCAACTGACAGACCTTCCCATCACTCCGGAAGCAGAAGAGCCTTCCAGTCTAGACAGTGATTTCAATGGACGTGTCATTGCCAGAGCCATCAGGTTCAGGCTGCAATCCACAATATCCTCCACCACTCCGACAGGTGCTGGAGAAGAAATTACGCCTCTTGAAATCACTCTGACTTTGCTTGTTAAGAAGCCAGGAGATAGCGACTTCACGCCCGTTTTGGAAGGGGACACTACTCAAAAGAAGGTAAGAAAGCCCCCAAATCAACAGAATCGGGTTACACTCACTTTGCCCACTTTGCTTTCCCAGTTGTCCAGTATCTCATTTCTAAATGACTAAATTCTAAGCATGTTTGGTCCTCTTCATTGCACAGATTTTCAGAGTCACCCTTGACAGCGACTTGCCTGAGAGACTGCTGCTCCCGAGCGATGACACAGCTCTGAAGGGCATTGAGCAGTTGCGTATTGAGTTCCAAACTGTGACCGGTGGTGAATCAGCAAGACTGCAAGTGGAGGTTCTGGGATGTGCAGAAGGTAGGCTGCCCTAAAGGTTATTTTCATGTGTTTGTTTTGCTTGTTGGCTTTTTTATATGTTATTTACGGTTTCATCAAGTACATTTTGTCTGAAGTTGAACCTTGCAAGTTGCACGGAAAAAAAACAGTTTGATGATATGACCTCGGGCCAAAGGTCTCACTACTTGCAAAATGCAAGGTATCTTTTTCATCGGCTCATCCAAGTACATATTTGTGTTTGCATTCTTTAGAATACACAACAACTGAAATGACCACTAAAGTCACCACTGTCACAACACCGACAACAACTGTCAGCGAAGAAACAACAAGCTCCCGAACCACGACGTCACAAATGTCAACTACTCCAGGTGAATAGTGTGGACGTGAACTTTTTACTAAAATTATCACCCTCGGACATTTCCATACCACCTCTCATCAAGCTTTTTCCACCCGAAATTACGCATGTCAGTGCTTTCTTTTCTGCATTTACCAACCGTTTCTGGATATTCTCAATGCAGGTTACTGTCTAGAGCCCATGGATGGGGAAAAGGGACTTGAACCTGAAGTTAAGGCGGCTGGAGATCTCACAATTGATAGTCAGACCTCCTACTTGACAATCACCCAGTTGCCAATTGACCCAAGCTCAAGTGATATCCCCAGCGTAGAGCTCCTCTTCCGTCAACCCATCAAGGTCACAGCAGTAGTCTTAGCCTCGCGTTCTCCTCAAGCAACAAGTGCACCCACGGGTCAGCCAGCAGCAAGCACAACCACATCCAGGACTGCTGCAGGGGAGAGGCTGACTGAGGTCACCCTCACTCTGTCCACCAAGAAGCCCGACGATGATGAATTCACTACACTGGTTGATGATAACACCAACCAGCCCAAGGTATTAATACAGCCGTGTTAAACACTTGGCATTGCTTCTTTCTACGACCAGCTTGTGTCCTTGATTTTGTTTCGCTCAGTTGTTTACATCCAGGCTCCTGTTTTTCTTCTCAAGCCCAACACTGACCAATGTACTGACCAGGGCATTTTTCTCCCATCTTTTCCAGTTGATAACTGTCCGTCTGGAAGGAGACCAACCCGAAATCAAGTACTTGCCGATAGATGAAGACACACTGGATGGCATCACTGAACTGCGCGTACAATTCCAGTCTGTCAGTGACGATGACGCAACAACATTTGAGTTACATGTTCTGGGTTGCATCAAAGGTAGACCTTTAGAAATGTTCTTTTATTGTCTAAAACTCGAAAGATATATTCAGAACACTTTGTCCTGTTATTCGGCACCAACATCCGAATGTCACCGTTCAGGCGATCTAAATAAACCACCAAAAGATGTAATTTTGTTTCCTCGCAGACTATTCTGTCAAAGACTTTATGCTTTAAATACACATTTCTCAACATTATTACCATTTTGCATAGAATACACCACTCAGCCGACGACAAGAACCACCAGTGTCACCACCACTCTGATAACCACGACTCCTCCCTCATCAACAACCCAAGGTAAAGCAGGCCCAGTCATTGAAGATTAAATTGCCAACTCTTTTGCATCGACATCTCCATAGGTTTTGCTTGTGTTGGAAATGGGTTCTGTCTGGTGCCTGGAAACGTTTGCAGTTTATATCCCACTTGACCCAAATCGTTGGCTGTGTCTTGACGGAAGCCCTGTTTTCTCCCTGCAGGGTACTGTCTGGAATCCATGGATAGCGAGTCTGGACTTTTGTCGGATGTCAGAGGTAGAGGTTCAGTGTTGCCGGACAAAACCAAAGGTGACATCCAACTGACAGACCTTCCCATCACTCCGGAAGCAGAAGAGCCTTCCAGTCTAGACAGTGATTTCAATGGACGTGTCATTGCCAGAGCCATCAGGTTCAGGCTGCAATCCACAATATCCTCCACCACTCCGACAGGTGCTGGAGAAGAAATTACGCCTCTTGAAATCACTCTGACTTTGCTTGTTAAGAAGCCAGGAGATAGCGACTTCACGCCCGTTTTGGAAGGGGACACTACTCAAAAGAAGGTAAGAAAGCCCCCAAATCAACAGAATCGGGTTACACTCACTTTGCCCACTTTGCTTTCCCAGTTGTCCAGTATCTCATTTCTAAATGACTAAATTCTAAGCATGTTTGGTCCTCTTCATTGCACAGATTTTCAGAGTCACCCTTGACAGCGACTTGCCTGAGAGACTGCTGCTCCCGAGCGATGACACAGCTCTGAAGGGCATTGAGCAGTTGCGTATTGAGTTCCAAACTGTGACCGGTGGTGAATCAGCAAGACTGCAAGTGGAGGTTCTGGGATGTGCAGAAGGTAGGCTGCCCTAAAGGTTATTTTCATGTGTTTGTTTTGCTTGTTGGCTTTTTTATATGTTATTTACGGTTTCATCAAGTACATTTTGTCTGAAGTTGAACCTTGCAAGTTGCACGGAAAAAAACAGTTTGATGATATGACCTCGGGCCAAAGGTCTCACTACTTGCAAAATGCAAGGTATCTTTTTCATCGGCTCATCCAAGTACATATTTGTGTTTGCATTCTTTAGAATACACAACAACTGAAATGACCACTAAAGTCACCACTGTCACAACACCGACAACAACTGTCAGCGAAGAAACAACAAGCTCCCGAACCACGACGTCACAAATGTCAACTACTCCAGGTGAATAGTGTGGACGTGAACTTTTTACTAAAATTATCACCCTCGGACATTTCCATACCACCTCTCATCAAGCTTTTTCCACCCGAAATTACGCATGTCAGTGCTTTCTTTTCTGCATTTACCAACCGTTTCTGGATATTCTCAATGCAGGTTACTGTCTAGAGCCCATGGATGGGGAAAAGGGACTTGAACCTGAAGTTAAGGCGGCTGGAGATCTCACAATTGATAGTCAGACCTCCTACTTGACAATCACCCAGTTGCCAATTGACCCAAGCTCAAGTGATATCCCCAGCGTAGAGCTCCTCTTCCGTCAACCCATCAAGGTCACAGCAGTAGTCTTAGCCTCGCGTTCTCCTCAAGCAACAAGTGCACCCACGGGTCAGCCAGCAGCAAGCACAACCACATCCAGGACTGCTGCAGGGGAGAGGCTGACTGAGGTCACCCTCACTCTGTCCACCAAGAAGCCCGACGATGATGAATTCACTACACTGGTTGATGATAACACCAACCAGCCCAAGGTATTAATACAGCCGTGTTAAACACTTGGCATTGCTTCTTTCTACGACCAGCTTGTGTCCTTGATTTTGTTTCGCTCAGTTGTTTACATCCAGGCTCCTGTTTTTCTTCTCAAGCCCAACACTGACCAATGTACTGACCAGGGCATTTTTCTCCCATCTTTTCCAGTTGATAACTGTCCGTCTGGAAGGAGACCAACCCGAAATCAAGTACTTGCCGATAGATGAAGACACACTGGATGGCATCACTGAACTGCGCGTACAATTCCAGTCTGTCAGTGACGATGACGCAACAACATTTGAGTTACATGTTCTGGGTTGCATCAAAGGTAGACCTTTAGAAATGTTCTTTTATTGTCTAAAACTCGAAAGATATCTTCAGAACACTTTGTCCTGTTATTCGGCACCAACATCCGAATGTCACCGTTCAGGCGATCTAAATAAACCACCAAAAGATGTAATTTTGTTTCCTCGCAGACTATTCTGTCAAAGACTTTATGCTTTAAATACACATTTCTCAACATTATTACCATTTTGCATAGAATACACCACTCAGCCGACGACAAGAACCACCAGTGTCACCACCACTCTGATAACCACGACTCCTCCCTCATCAACAACCCAAGGTAAAGCAGGCCCAGTCATTGAAGATTAAATTGCCAACTCTTTTGCATCGACATCTCCATAGGTTTTGCTTGTGTTGGAAATGGGTTCTGTCTGGTGCCTGGAAACGTTTGCAGTTTATATCCCACTTGACCCAAATCGTTGGCTGTGTCTTGACGGAAGCCCTGTTTTCTCCCTGCAGGGTACTGTCTGGAATCCATGGATAGCGAGTCTGGACTTTTGTCGGATGTCAGAGGTAGAGGTTCAGTGTTGCCGGACAAAACCAAAGGTGACATCCAACTGACAGACCTTCCCATCACTCCGGAAGCAGAAGAGCCTTCCAGTCTAGACAGTGATTTCAATGGACGTGTCATTGCCAGAGCCATCAGGTTCAGGCTGCAATCCACAATATCCTCCACCACTCCGACAGGTGCTGGAGAAGAAATTACGCCTCTTGAAATCACTCTGACTTTGCTTGTTAAGAAGCCAGGAGATAGCGACTTCACGCCCGTTTTGGAAGGGGACACTACTCAAAAGAAGGTAAGAAAGCCCCCAAATCAACAGAATCGGGTTACACTCACTTTGCCCACTTTGCTTTCCCAGTTGTCCAGTATCTCATTTCTAAATGACTAAATTCTAAGCATGTTTGGTCCTCTTCATTGCACAGATTTTCAGAGTCACCCTTGACAGCGACTTGCCTGAGAGACTGCTGCTCCCGAGCGATGACACAGCTCTGAAGGGCATTGAGCAGTTGCGTATTGAGTTCCAAACTGTGACCGGTGGTGAATCAGCAAGACTGCAAGTGGAGGTTCTGGGATGTGCAGAAGGTAGGCTGCCCTAAAGGTTATTTTCATGTGTTTGTTTTGCTTGTTGGCTTTTTTATATGTTATTTACGGTTTCATCAAGTACATTTTGTCTGAAGTTGAACCTTGCAAGTTGCACGGAAAAAAACAGTTTGATGATATGACCTCGGGCCAAAGGTCTCACTACTTGCAAAATGCAAGGTATCTTTTTCATCGGCTCATCCAAGTACATATTTGTGTTTGCATTCTTTAGAATACACAACAACTGAAATGACCACTAAAGTCACCACTGTCACAACACCGACAACAACTGTCAGCGAAGAAACAACAAGCTCCCGAACCACGACGTCACAAATGTCAACTACTCCAGGTGAATAGTGTGGACGTGAACTTTTTACTAAAATTATCACCCTCGGACATTTCCATACCACCTCTCATCAAGCTTTTTCCACCCGAAATTACGCATGTCAGTGCTTTCTTTTCTGCATTTACCAACCGTTTCTGGATATTCTCAATGCAGGTTACTGTCTAGAGCCCATGGATGGGGAAAAGGGACTTGAACCTGAAGTTAAGGCGGCTGGAGATCTCACAATTGATAGTCAGACCTCCTACTTGACAATCACCCAGTTGCCAATTGACCCAAGCTCAAGTGATATCCCCAGCGTAGAGCTCCTCTTCCGTCAACCCATCAAGGTCACAGCAGTAGTCTTAGCCTCGCGTTCTCCTCAAGCAACAAGTGCACCCACGGGTCAGCCAGCAGCAAGCACAACCACATCCAGGACTGCTGCAGGGGAGAGGCTGACTGAGGTCACCCTCACTCTGTCCACCAAGAAGCCCGACGATGATGAATTCACTACACTGGTTGATGATAACACCAACCAGCCCAAGGTATTAATACAGCCGTGTTAAACACTTGGCATTGCTTCTTTCTACGACCAGCTTGTGTCCTTGATTTTGTTTCGCTCAGTTGTTTACATCCAGGCTCCTGTTTTTCTTCTCAAGCCCAACACTGACCAATGTACTGACCAGGGCATTTTTCTCCCATCTTTTCCAGTTGATAACTGTCCGTCTGGAAGGAGACCAACCCGAAATCAAGTACTTGCCGATAGATGAAGACACACTGGATGGCATCACTGAACTGCGCGTACAATTCCAGTCTGTCAGTGACGATGACGCAACAACATTTGAGTTACATGTTCTGGGTTGCATCAAAGGTAGACCTTTAGAAATGTTCTTTTATTGTCTAAAACTCGAAAGATATATTCAGAACACTTTGTCCTGTTATTCGGCACCAACATCCGAATGTCACCGTTCAGGCGATCTAAATAAACCACCAAAAGATGTAATTTTGTTTCCTCGCAGACTATTCTGTCAAAGACTTTATGCTTTAAATACACATTTCTCAACATTATTACCATTTTGCATAGAATACACCACTCAGCCGACGACAAGAACCACCAGTGTCACCACCACTCTGATAACCACGACTCCTCCCTCATCAACAACCCAAGGTAAAGCAGGCCCAGTCATTGAAGATTAAATTGCCAACTCTTTTGCATCGACATCTCCATAGGTTTTGCTTGTGTTGGAAATGGGTTCTGTCTGGTGCCTGGAAACGTTTGCAGTTTATATCCCACTTGACCCAAATCGTTGGCTGTGTCTTGACGGAAGCCCTGTTTTCTCCCTGCAGGGTACTGTCTGGAATCCATGGATAGCGAGTCTGGACTTTTGTCGGATGTCAGAGGTAGAGGTTCAGTGTTGCCGGACAAAACCAAAGGTGACATCCAACTGACAGACCTTCCCATCACTCCGGAAGCAGAAGAGCCTTCCAGTCTAGACAGTGATTTCAATGGACGTGTCATTGCCAGAGCCATCAGGTTCAGGCTGCAATCCACAATATCCTCCACCACTCCGACAGGTGCTGGAGAAGAAATTACGCCTCTTGAAATCACTCTGACTTTGCTTGTTAAGAAGCCAGGAGATAGCGACTTCACGCCCGTTTTGGAAGGGGACACTACTCAAAAGAAGGTAAGAAAGCCCCCAAATCAACAGAATCGGGTTACACTCACTTTGCCCACTTTGCTTTCCCAGTTGTCCAGTATCTCATTTCTAAATGACTAAATTCTAAGCATGTTTGGTCCTCTTCATTGCACAGATTTTCAGAGTCACCCTTGACAGCGACTTGCCTGAGAGACTGCTGCTCCCGAGCGATGACACAGCTCTGAAGGGCATTGAGCAGTTGCGTATTGAGTTCCAAACTGTGACCGGTGGTGAATCAGCAAGACTGCAAGTGGAGGTTCTGGGATGTGCAGAAGGTAGGCTGCCCTAAAGGTTATTTTCATGTGTTTGTTTTGCTTGTTGGCTTTTTTATATGTTATTTACGGTTTCATCAAGTACATTTTGTCTGAAGTTGAACCTTGCAAGTTGCACGGAAAAAAACAGTTTGATGATATGACCTCGGGCCAAAGGTCTCACTACTTGCAAAATGCAAGGTATCTTTTTCATCGGCTCATCCAAGTACATATTTGTGTTTGCATTCTTTAGAATACACAACAACTGAAATGACCACTAAAGTCACCACTGTCACAACACCGACAACAACTGTCAGCGAAGAAACAACAAGCTCCCGAACCACGACGTCACAAATGTCAACTACTCCAGGTGAATAGTGTGGACGTGAACTTTTTACTAAAATTATCACCCTCGGACATTTCCATACCACCTCTCATCAAGCTTTTTCCACCCGAAATTACGCATGTCAGTGCTTTCTTTTCTGCATTTACCAACCGTTTCTGGATATTCTCAATGCAGGTTACTGTCTAGAGCCCATGGATGGGGAAAAGGGACTTGAACCTGAAGTTAAGGCGGCTGGAGATCTCACAATTGATAGTCAGACCTCCTACTTGACAATCACCCAGTTGCCAATTGACCCAAGCTCAAGTGATATCCCCAGCGTAGAGCTCCTCTTCCGTCAACCCATCAAGGTCACAGCAGTAGTCTTAGCCTCGCGTTCTCCTCAAGCAACAAGTGCACCCACGGGTCAGCCAGCAGCAAGCACAACCACATCCAGGACTGCTGCAGGGGAGAGGCTGACTGAGGTCACCCTCACTCTGTCCACCAAGAAGCCCGACGATGATGAATTCACTACACTGGTTGATGATAACACCAACCAGCCCAAGGTATTAATACAGCCGTGTTAAACACTTGGCATTGCTTCTTTCTACGACCAGCTTGTGTCCTTGATTTTGTTTCGCTCAGTTGTTTACATCCAGGCTCCTGTTTTTCTTCTCAAGCCCAACACTGACCAATGTACTGACCAGGGCATTTTTCTCCCATCTTTTCCAGTTGATAACTGTCCGTCTGGAAGGAGACCAACCCGAAATCAAGTACTTGCCGATAGATGAAGACACACTGGATGGCATCACTGAACTGCGCGTACAATTCCAGTCTGTCAGTGACGATGACGCAACAACATTTGAGTTACATGTTCTGGGTTGCATCAAAGGTAGACCTTTAGAAATGTTCTTTTATTGTCTAAAACTCGAAAGATATATTCAGAACACTTTGTCCTGTTATTCGGCACCAACATCCGAATGTCACCGTTCAGGCGATCTAAATAAACCACCAAAAGATGTAATTTTGTTTCCTCGCAGACTATTCTGTCAAAGACTTTATGCTTTAAATACACATTTCTCAACATTATTACCATTTTGCATAGAATACACCACTCAGCCGACGACAAGAACCACCAGTGTCACCACCACTCTGATAACCACGACTCCTCCCTCATCAACAACCCAAGGTAAAGCAGGCCCAGTCATTGAAGATTAAATTGCCAACTCTTTTGCATCGACATCTCCATAGGTTTTGCTTGTGTTGGAAATGGGTTCTGTCTGGTGCCTGGAAACGTTTGCAGTTTATATCCCACTTGACCCAAATCGTTGGCTGTGTCTTGACGGAAGCCCTGTTTTCTCCCTGCAGGGTACTGTCTGGAATCCATGGATAGCGAGTCTGGACTTTTGTCGGATGTCAGAGGTAGAGGTTCAGTGTTGCCGGACAAAACCAAAGGTGACATCCAACTGACAGACCTTCCCATCACTCCGGAAGCAGAAGAGCCTTCCAGTCTAGACAGTGATTTCAATGGACGTGTCATTGCCAGAGCCATCAGGTTCAGGCTGCAATCCACAATATCCTCCACCACTCCGACAGGTGCTGGAGAAGAAATTACGCCTCTTGAAATCACTCTGACTTTGCTTGTTAAGAAGCCAGGAGATAGCGACTTCACGCCCGTTTTGGAAGGGGACACTACTCAAAAGAAGGTAAGAAAGCCCCCAAATCAACAGAATCGGGTTACACTCACTTTGCCCACTTTGCTTTCCCAGTTGTCCAGTATCTCATTTCTAAATGACTAAATTCTAAGCATGTTTGGTCCTCTTCATTGCACAGATTTTCAGAGTCACCCTTGACAGCGACTTGCCTGAGAGACTGCTGCTCCCGAGCGATGACACAGCTCTGAAGGGCATTGAGCAGTTGCGTATTGAGTTCCAAACTGTGACCGGTGGTGAATCAGCAAGACTGCAAGTGGAGGTTCTGGGATGTGCAGAAGGTAGGCTGCCCTAAAGGTTATTTTCATGTGTTTGTTTTGCTTGTTGGCTTTTTTATATGTTATTTACGGTTTCATCAAGTACATTTTGTCTGAAGTTGAACCTTGCAAGTTGCACGGAAAAAAACAGTTTGATGATATGACCTCGGGCCAAAGGTCTCACTACTTGCAAAATGCAAGGTATCTTTTTCATCGGCTCATCCAAGTACATATTTGTGTTTGCATTCTTTAGAATACACAACAACTGAAATGACCACTAAAGTCACCACTGTCACAACACCGACAACAACTGTCAGCGAAGAAACAACAAGCTCCCGAACCACGACGTCACAAATGTCAACTACTCCAGGTGAATAGTGTGGACGTGAACTTTTTACTAAAATTATCACCCTCGGACATTTCCATACCACCTCTCATCAAGCTTTTTCCACCCGAAATTACGCATGTCAGTGCTTTCTTTTCTGCATTTACCAACCGTTTCTGGATATTCTCAATGCAGGTTACTGTCTAGAGCCCATGGATGGGGAAAAGGGACTTGAACCTGAAGTTAAGGCGGCTGGAGATCTCACAATTGATAGTCAGACCTCCTACTTGACAATCACCCAGTTGCCAATTGACCCAAGCTCAAGTGATATCCCCAGCGTAGAGCTCCTCTTCCGTCAACCCATCAAGGTCACAGCAGTAGTCTTAGCCTCGCGTTCTCCTCAAGCAACAAGTGCACCCACGGGTCAGCCAGCAGCAAGCACAACCACATCCAGGACTGCTGCAGGGGAGAGGCTGACTGAGGTCACCCTCACTCTGTCCACCAAGAAGCCCGACGATGATGAATTCACTACACTGGTTGATGATAACACCAACCAGCCCAAGGTATTAATACAGCCGTGTTAAACACTTGGCATTGCTTCTTTCTACGACCAGCTTGTGTCCTTGATTTTGTTTCGCTCAGTTGTTTACATCCAGGCTCCTGTTTTTCTTCTCAAGCCCAACACTGACCAATGTACTGACCAGGGCATTTTTCTCCCATCTTTTCCAGTTGATAACTGTCCGTCTGGAAGGAGACCAACCCGAAATCAAGTACTTGCCGATAGATGAAGACACACTGGATGGCATCACTGAACTGCGCGTACAATTCCAGTCTGTCAGTGACGATGACGCAACAACATTTGAGTTACATGTTCTGGGTTGCATCAAAGGTAGACCTTTAGAAATGTTCTTTTATTGTCTAAAACTCGAAAGATATCTTCAGAACACTTTGTCCTGTTATTCGGCACCAACATCCGAATGTCACCGTTCAGGCGATCTAAATAAACCACCAAAAGATGTAATTTTGTTTCCTCGCAGACTATTCTGTCAAAGACTTTATGCTTTAAATACACATTTCTCAACATTATTACCATTTTGCATAGAATACACCACTCAGCCGACGACAAGAACCACCAGTGTCACCACCACTCTGATAACCACGACTCCTCCCTCATCAACAACCCAAGGTAAAGCAGGCCCAGTCATTGAAGATTAAATTGCCAACTCTTTTGCATCGACATCTCCATAGGTTTTGCTTGTGTTGGAAATGGGTTCTGTCTGGTGCCTGGAAACGTTTGCAGTTTATATCCCACTTGACCCAAATCGTTGGCTGTGTCTTGACGGAAGCCCTGTTTTCTCCCTGCAGGGTACTGTCTGGAATCCATGGATAGCGAGTCTGGACTTTTGTCGGATGTCAGAGGTAGAGGTTCAGTGTTGCCGGACAAAACCAAAGGTGACATCCAACTGACAGACCTTCCCATCACTCCGGAAGCAGAAGAGCCTTCCAGTCTAGACAGTGATTTCAATGGACGTGTCATTGCCAGAGCCATCAGGTTCAGGCTGCAATCCACAATATCCTCCACCACTCCGACAGGTGCTGGAGAAGAAATTACGCCTCTTGAAATCACTCTGACTTTGCTTGTTAAGAAGCCAGGAGATAGCGACTTCACGCCCGTTTTGGAAGGGGACACTACTCAAAAGAAGGTAAGAAAGCCCCCAAATCAACAGAATCGGGTTACACTCACTTTGCCCACTTTGCTTTCCCAGTTGTCCAGTATCTCATTTCTAAATGACTAAATTCTAAGCATGTTTGGTCCTCTTCATTGCACAGATTTTCAGAGTCACCCTTGACAGCGACTTGCCTGAGAGACTGCTGCTCCCGAGCGATGACACAGCTCTGAAGGGCATTGAGCAGTTGCGTATTGAGTTCCAAACTGTGACCGGTGGTGAATCAGCAAGACTGCAAGTGGAGGTTCTGGGATGTGCAGAAGGTAGGCTGCCCTAAAGGTTATTTTCATGTGTTTGTTTTGCTTGTTGGCTTTTTTATATGTTATTTACGGTTTCATCAAGTACATTTTGTCTGAAGTTGAACCTTGCAAGTTGCACGGAAAAAAACAGTTTGATGATATGACCTCGGGCCAAAGGTCTCACTACTTGCAAAATGCAAGGTATCTTTTTCATCGGCTCATCCAAGTACATATTTGTGTTTGCATTCTTTAGAATACACAACAACTGAAATGACCACTAAAGTCACCACTGTCACAACACCGACAACAACTGTCAGCGAAGAAACAACAAGCTCCCGAACCACGACGTCACAAATGTCAACTACTCCAGGTGAATAGTGTGGACGTGAACTTTTTACTAAAATTATCACCCTCGGACATTTCCATACCACCTCTCATCAAGCTTTTTCCACCCGAAATTACGCATGTCAGTGCTTTCTTTTCTGCATTTACCAACCGTTTCTGGATATTCTCAATGCAGGTTACTGTCTAGAGCCCATGGATGGGGAAAAGGGACTTGAACCTGAAGTTAAGGCGGCTGGAGATCTCACAATTGATAGTCAGACCTCCTACTTGACAATCACCCAGTTGCCAATTGACCCAAGCTCAAGTGATATCCCCAGCGTAGAGCTCCTCTTCCGTCAACCCATCAAGGTCACAGCAGTAGTCTTAGCCTCGCGTTCTCCTCAAGCAACAAGTGCACCCACGGGTCAGCCAGCAGCAAGCACAACCACATCCAGGACTGCTGCAGGGGAGAGGCTGACTGAGGTCACCCTCACTCTGTCCACCAAGAAGCCCGACGATGATGAATTCACTACACTGGTTGATGATAACACCAACCAGCCCAAGGTATTAATACAGCCGTGTTAAACACTTGGCATTGCTTCTTTCTACGACCAGCTTGTGTCCTTGATTTTGTTTCGCTCAGTTGTTTACATCCAGGCTCCTGTTTTTCTTCTCAAGCCCAACACTGACCAATGTACTGACCAGGGCATTTTTCTCCCATCTTTTCCAGTTGATAACTGTCCGTCTGGAAGGAGACCAACCCGAAATCAAGTACTTGCCGATAGATGAAGACACACTGGATGGCATCACTGAACTGCGCGTACAATTCCAGTCTGTCAGTGACGATGACGCAACAACATTTGAGTTACATGTTCTGGGTTGCATCAAAGGTAGACCTTTAGAAATGTTCTTTTATTGTCTAAAACTCGAAAGATATCTTCAGAACACTTTGTCCTGTTATTCGGCACCAACATCCGAATGTCACCGTTCAGGCGATCTAAATAAACCACCAAAAGATGTAATTTTGTTTCCTCGCAGACTATTCTGTCAAAGACTTTATGCTTTAAATACACATTTCTCAACATTATTACCATTTTGCATAGAATACACCACTCAGCCGACGACAAGAACCACCAGTGTCACCACCACTCTGATAACCACGACTCCTCCCTCATCAACAACCCAAGGTAAAGCAGGCCCAGTCATTGAAGATTAAATTGCCAACTCTTTTGCATCGACATCTCCATAGGTTTTGCTTGTGTTGGAAATGGGTTCTGTCTGGTGCCTGGAAACGTTTGCAGTTTATATCCCACTTGACCCAAATCGTTGGCTGTGTCTTGACGGAAGCCCTGTTTTCTCCCTGCAGGGTACTGTCTGGAATCCATGGATAGCGAGTCTGGACTTTTGTCGGATGTCAGAGGTAGAGGTTCAGTGTTGCCGGACAAAACCAAAGGTGACATCCAACTGACAGACCTTCCCATCACTCCGGAAGCAGAAGAGCCTTCCAGTCTAGACAGTGATTTCAATGGACGTGTCATTGCCAGAGCCATCAGGTTCAGGCTGCAATCCACAATATCCTCCACCACTCCGACAGGTGCTGGAGAAGAAATTACGCCTCTTGAAATCACTCTGACTTTGCTTGTTAAGAAGCCAGGAGATAGCGACTTCACGCCCGTTTTGGAAGGGGACACTACTCAAAAGAAGGTAAGAAAGCCCCCAAATCAACAGAATCGGGTTACACTCACTTTGCCCACTTTGCTTTCCCAGTTGTCCAGTATCTCATTTCTAAATGACTAAATTCTAAGCATGTTTGGTCCTCTTCATTGCACAGATTTTCAGAGTCACCCTTGACAGCGACTTGCCTGAGAGACTGCTGCTCCCGAGCGATGACACAGCTCTGAAGGGCATTGAGCAGTTGCGTATTGAGTTCCAAACTGTGACCGGTGGTGAATCAGCAAGACTGCAAGTGGAGGTTCTGGGATGTGCAGAAGGTAGGCTGCCCTAAAGGTTATTTTCATGTGTTTGTTTTGCTTGTTGGCTTTTTTATATGTTATTTACGGTTTCATCAAGTACATTTTGTCTGAAGTTGAACCTTGCAAGTTGCACGGAAAAAAACAGTTTGATGATATGACCTCGGGCCAAAGGTCTCACTACTTGCAAAATGCAAGGTATCTTTTTCATCGGCTCATCCAAGTACATATTTGTGTTTGCATTCTTTAGAATACACAACAACTGAAATGACCACTAAAGTCACCACTGTCACAACACCGACAACAACTGTCAGCGAAGAAACAACAAGCTCCCGAACCACGACGTCACAAATGTCAACTACTCCAGGTGAATAGTGTGGACGTGAACTTTTTACTAAAATTATCACCCTCGGACATTTCCATACCACCTCTCATCAAGCTTTTTCCACCCGAAATTACGCATGTCAGTGCTTTCTTTTCTGCATTTACCAACCGTTTCTGGATATTCTCAATGCAGGTTACTGTCTAGAGCCCATGGATGGGGAAAAGGGACTTGAACCTGAAGTTAAGGCGGCTGGAGATCTCACAATTGATAGTCAGACCTCCTACTTGACAATCACCCAGTTGCCAATTGACCCAAGCTCAAGTGATATCCCCAGCGTAGAGCTCCTCTTCCGTCAACCCATCAAGGTCACAGCAGTAGTCTTAGCCTCGCGTTCTCCTCAAGCAACAAGTGCACCCACGGGTCAGCCAGCAGCAAGCACAACCACATCCAGGACTGCTGCAGGGGAGAGGCTGACTGAGGTCACCCTCACTCTGTCCACCAAGAAGCCCGACGATGATGAATTCACTACACTGGTTGATGATAACACCAACCAGCCCAAGGTATTAATACAGCCGTGTTAAACACTTGGCATTGCTTCTTTCTACGACCAGCTTGTGTCCTTGATTTTGTTTCGCTCAGTTGTTTACATCCAGGCTCCTGTTTTTCTTCTCAAGCCCAACACTGACCAATGTACTGACCAGGGCATTTTTCTCCCATCTTTTCCAGTTGATAACTGTCCGTCTGGAAGGAGACCAACCCGAAATCAAGTACTTGCCGATAGATGAAGACACACTGGATGGCATCACTGAACTGCGCGTACAATTCCAGTCTGTCAGTGACGATGACGCAACAACATTTGAGTTACATGTTCTGGGTTGCATCAAAGGTAGACCTTTAGAAATGTTCTTTTATTGTCTAAAACTCGAAAGATATATTCAGAACACTTTGTCCTGTTATTCGGCACCAACATCCGAATGTCACCGTTCAGGCGATCTAAATAAACCACCAAAAGATGTAATTTTGTTTCCTCGCAGACTATTCTGTCAAAGACTTTATGCTTTAAATACACATTTCTCAACATTATTACCATTTTGCATAGAATACACCACTCAGCCGACGACAAGAACCACCAGTGTCACCACCACTCTGATAACCACGACTCCTCCCTCATCAACAACCCAAGGTAAAGCAGGCCCAGTCATTGAAGATTAAATTGCCAACTCTTTTGCATCGACATCTCCATAGGTTTTGCTTGTGTTGGAAATGGGTTCTGTCTGGTGCCTGGAAACGTTTGCAGTTTATATCCCACTTGACCCAAATCGTTGGCTGTGTCTTGACGGAAGCCCTGTTTTCTCCCTGCAGGGTACTGTCTGGAATCCATGGATAGCGAGTCTGGACTTTTGTCGGATGTCAGAGGTAGAGGTTCAGTGTTGCCGGACAAAACCAAAGGTGACATCCAACTGACAGACCTTCCCATCACTCCGGAAGCAGAAGAGCCTTCCAGTCTAGACAGTGATTTCAATGGACGTGTCATTGCCAGAGCCATCAGGTTCAGGCTGCAATCCACAATATCCTCCACCACTCCGACAGGTGCTGGAGAAGAAATTACGCCTCTTGAAATCACTCTGACTTTGCTTGTTAAGAAGCCAGGAGATAGCGACTTCACGCCCGTTTTGGAAGGGGACACTACTCAAAAGAAGGTAAGAAAGCCCCCAAATCAACAGAATCGGGTTACACTCACTTTGCCCACTTTGCTTTCCCAGTTGTCCAGTATCTCATTTCTAAATGACTAAATTCTAAGCATGTTTGGTCCTCTTCATTGCACAGATTTTCAGAGTCACCCTTGACAGCGACTTGCCTGAGAGACTGCTGCTCCCGAGCGATGACACAGCTCTGAAGGGCATTGAGCAGTTGCGTATTGAGTTCCAAACTGTGACCGGTGGTGAATCAGCAAGACTGCAAGTGGAGGTTCTGGGATGTGCAGAAGGTAGGCTGCCCTAAAGGTTATTTTCATGTGTTTGTTTTGCTTGTTGGCTTTTTTATATGTTATTTACGGTTTCATCAAGTACATTTTGTCTGAAGTTGAACCTTGCAAGTTGCACGGAAAAAAACAGTTTGATGATATGACCTCGGGCCAAAGGTCTCACTACTTGCAAAATGCAAGGTATCTTTTTCATCGGCTCATCCAAGTACATATTTGTGTTTGCATTCTTTAGAATACACAACAACTGAAATGACCACTAAAGTCACCACTGTCACAACACCGACAACAACTGTCAGCGAAGAAACAACAAGCTCCCGAACCACGACGTCACAAATGTCAACTACTCCAGGTGAATAGTGTGGACGTGAACTTTTTACTAAAATTATCACCCTCGGACATTTCCATACCACCTCTCATCAAGCTTTTTCCACCCGAAATTACGCATGTCAGTGCTTTCTTTTCTGCATTTACCAACCGTTTCTGGATATTCTCAATGCAGGTTACTGTCTAGAGCCCATGGATGGGGAAAAGGGACTTGAACCTGAAGTTAAGGCGGCTGGAGATCTCACAATTGATAGTCAGACCTCCTACTTGACAATCACCCAGTTGCCAATTGACCCAAGCTCAAGTGATATCCCCAGCGTAGAGCTCCTCTTCCGTCAACCCATCAAGGTCACAGCAGTAGTCTTAGCCTCGCGTTCTCCTCAAGCAACAAGTGCACCCACGGGTCAGCCAGCAGCAAGCACAACCACATCCAGGACTGCTGCAGGGGAGAGGCTGACTGAGGTCACCCTCACTCTGTCCACCAAGAAGCCCGACGATGATGAATTCACTACACTGGTTGATGATAACACCAACCAGCCCAAGGTATTAATACAGCCGTGTTAAACACTTGGCATTGCTTCTTTCTACGACCAGCTTGTGTCCTTGATTTTGTTTCGCTCAGTTGTTTACATCCAGGCTCCTGTTTTTCTTCTCAAGCCCAACACTGACCAATGTACTGACCAGGGCATTTTTCTCCCATCTTTTCCAGTTGATAACTGTCCGTCTGGAAGGAGACCAACCCGAAATCAAGTACTTGCCGATAGATGAAGACACACTGGATGGCATCACTGAACTGCGCGTACAATTCCAGTCTGTCAGTGACGATGACGCAACAACATTTGAGTTACATGTTCTGGGTTGCATCAAAGGTAGACCTTTAGAAATGTTCTTTTATTGTCTAAAACTCGAAAGATATCTTCAGAACACTTTGTCCTGTTATTCGGCACCAACATCCGAATGTCACCGTTCAGGCGATCTAAATAAACCACCAAAAGATGTAATTTTGTTTCCTCGCAGACTATTCTGTCAAAGACTTTATGCTTTAAATACACATTTCTCAACATTATTACCATTTTGCATAGAATACACCACTCAGCCGACGACAAGAACCACCAGTGTCACCACCACTCTGATAACCACGACTCCTCCCTCATCAACAACCCAAGGTAAAGCAGGCCCAGTCATTGAAGATTAAATTGCCAACTCTTTTGCATCGACATCTCCATAGGTTTTGCTTGTGTTGGAAATGGGTTCTGTCTGGTGCCTGGAAACGTTTGCAGTTTATATCCCACTTGACCCAAATCGTTGGCTGTGTCTTGACGGAAGCCCTGTTTTCTCCCTGCAGGGTACTGTCTGGAATCCATGGATAGCGAGTCTGGACTTTTGTCGGATGTCAGAGGTAGAGGTTCAGTGTTGCCGGACAAAACCAAAGGTGACATCCAACTGACAGACCTTCCCATCACTCCGGAAGCAGAAGAGCCTTCCAGTCTAGACAGTGATTTCAATGGACGTGTCATTGCCAGAGCCATCAGGTTCAGGCTGCAATCCACAATATCCTCCACCACTCCGACAGGTGCTGGAGAAGAAATTACGCCTCTTGAAATCACTCTGACTTTGCTTGTTAAGAAGCCAGGAGATAGCGACTTCACGCCCGTTTTGGAAGGGGACACTACTCAAAAGAAGGTAAGAAAGCCCCCAAATCAACAGAATCGGGTTACACTCACTTTGCCCACTTTGCTTTCCCAGTTGTCCAGTATCTCATTTCTAAATGACTAAATTCTAAGCATGTTTGGTCCTCTTCATTGCACAGATTTTCAGAGTCACCCTTGACAGCGACTTGCCTGAGAGACTGCTGCTCCCGAGCGATGACACAGCTCTGAAGGGCATTGAGCAGTTGCGTATTGAGTTCCAAACTGTGACCGGTGGTGAATCAGCAAGACTGCAAGTGGAGGTTCTGGGATGTGCAGAAGGTAGGCTGCCCTAAAGGTTATTTTCATGTGTTTGTTTTGCTTGTTGGCTTTTTTATATGTTATTTACGGTTTCATCAAGTACATTTTGTCTGAAGTTGAACCTTGCAAGTTGCACGGAAAAAAACAGTTTGATGATATGACCTCGGGCCAAAGGTCTCACTACTTGCAAAATGCAAGGTATCTTTTTCATCGGCTCATCCAAGTACATATTTGTGTTTGCATTCTTTAGAATACACAACAACTGAAATGACCACTAAAGTCACCACTGTCACAACACCGACAACAACTGTCAGCGAAGAAACAACAAGCTCCCGAACCACGACGTCACAAATGTCAACTACTCCAGGTGAATAGTGTGGACGTGAACTTTTTACTAAAATTATCACCCTCGGACATTTCCATACCACCTCTCATCAAGCTTTTTCCACCCGAAATTACGCATGTCAGTGCTTTCTTTTCTGCATTTACCAACCGTTTCTGGATATTCTCAATGCAGGTTACTGTCTAGAGCCCATGGATGGGGAAAAGGGACTTGAACCTGAAGTTAAGGCGGCTGGAGATCTCACAATTGATAGTCAGACCTCCTACTTGACAATCACCCAGTTGCCAATTGACCCAAGCTCAAGTGATATCCCCAGCGTAGAGCTCCTCTTCCGTCAACCCATCAAGGTCACAGCAGTAGTCTTAGCCTCGCGTTCTCCTCAAGCAACAAGTGCACCCACGGGTCAGCCAGCAGCAAGCACAACCACATCCAGGACTGCTGCAGGGGAGAGGCTGACTGAGGTCACCCTCACTCTGTCCACCAAGAAGCCCGACGATGATGAATTCACTACACTGGTTGATGATAACACCAACCAGCCCAAGGTATTAATACAGCCGTGTTAAACACTTGGCATTGCTTCTTTCTACGACCAGCTTGTGTCCTTGATTTTGTTTCGCTCAGTTGTTTACATCCAGGCTCCTGTTTTTCTTCTCAAGCCCAACACTGACCAATGTACTGACCAGGGCATTTTTCTCCATCTTTTCCAGTTGATAACTGTCCGTCTGGAGGAGACCAACCCGAAATCAAGTACTTGCCGATAGATGAAGACACACTGGATGGCATCACTGAACTGCGCGTACAATTCCAGTCTGTCAGTGACGATGACGCAACAACATTTGAGTTACATGTTCTGGGTTGCATCAAAGGTAGACCTTTAGAAATGTTCTTTTATTGTCTAAAACTCGAAAGATATATTCAGAACACTTTGTCCTGTTATTCGGCACCAACATCCGAATGTCACCGTTCAGGCGATCTCGATCTAAATAACCACCAAAAGATGTAATTTTGTTTCCTCGCAGACTATTCTGTCAAAGACTTTATGCTTTAAATACACATTTCTCAACATTATTACCATTTTGCATAGAATACACCACTCAGCCGACGACAAGAACCACCAGTGTCACCACCACTCTGATAACCACGACTCCTCCCTCATCAACAACCCAAGGTAAAGCAGGCCCAGTCATTGAAGATTAAATTGCCAACTCTTTTGCATCGACATCTCCATAGGTTTTGCTTGTGTTGGAAATGGGTTCTGTCTGTGCCTGGCGTTTGTTTGCAGTTTATATCCCACTTGACCCAAATCGTTGGCTGTGTCTTGACGGAAGCCCTGTTTTCTCCCTGCAGGGTACTGTCTGGAATCCATGGATAGCGAGTCTGGACTTTTGTCGGATGTCAGAGGTAGAGGTTCAGTGTTGCCGGACAAAACCAAAGGTGACATCCAACTGACAGACCTTCCCATCACTCCGGAAGCAGAAGAGCCTTCCAGTCTAGACAGTGATTTCAATGGACGTGTCATTGCCAGAGCCATCAGGTTCAGGCTGCAATCCACAATATCCTCCACCACTCCGACAGGTGCTGGAGAAGAAATTACGCCTCTTGAAATCACTCTGACTTTGCTTGTTAAGAAGCCAGGAGATAGCGACTTCACGCCCGTTTTGGAAGGGACACTACTCAAAAGAAGGTAAGAAAGCCCCCAAATCAACAGAATCGGGTTACACTCACTTTGCCCACTTTGCTTTCCCAGTTGTCCAGTATCTCATTTCTAAATGACTAAATTCTAAGCATGTTTGGTCCTCTTCATTGCACAGATTTTCAGAGTCACCCTTGACAGCGACTTGCCTGAGAGACTGCTGCTCCCGAGCGATGACACAGCTCTGAAGGGCATTGAGCAGTTGCGTATTGAGTTCCAAACTGTGACCGGTGGTGAATCAGCAAGACTGCAAGTGGAGGTTCTGGGATGTGCAGAAGGTAGGCTGCCCTAAAGGTTATTTTCATGTGTTTGTTTTGCTTGTTGGCTTTTTTTATATGTTATTTACGGTTTCATCAAGTACATGTTTGTCTGAAGTTGAACCTTGCAAGTTGCACCGGAAAAAAACAGTTTGATGATATGACCTCGGGCCAAAGGTCTCACTACTTGCAAAATGCAAGGTATCTTTTTCATCGGCTCATCCAAGTACATATTTGTGTTTGCATTCTTTAGAATACACAACAACTGAAATGACCACTAAAGTCACCACTGTCACAACACCGACAACAACTGTCAGCGAAGAAACAACAAGCTCCCGAACCACGACGTCACAAATGTCAACTACTCCAGGTGAATAGTGTGGACGTGAACTTTTTACTAAAATTATCACCCTCGGACATTTCCATACCACCTCTCATCAAGCTTTTTCCACCCGAAATTACGCATGTCAGTGCTTTCTTTTCTGCATTCGTTTCTGGATTTACCAACCGGTTTCTATCTCAATGCAGGTTACTGTCTAGAGCCCATGGATGGGGAAAAGGGACTTGAACCTGAAGTTAAGGCGGCTGGAGATCTCACAATTGATAGTCAGACCTCCTACTTGACAATCACCCAGTTGCCAATTGACCCAAGCTCAAGTGATATCCCCAGCGTAGAGCTCCTCTTCCGTCAACCCATCAAGGTCACAGCAGTAGTCTTAGCCTCGCGTTCTCCTCAAGCAACAAGTGCACCCACGGGTCAGCCAGCAGCAAGCACAACCACATCCAGGACTGCTGCAGGGGAGAGGCTGACTGAGGTCACCCTCACTCTGTCCACCAAGAAGCCCGACGATGATGAATTCACTACACTGGTTGATGATAACACCAACCAGCCCAAGGTATTAATACAGCCGTGTTAAACACTTGGCATTGCTTCTTTCTACGACCAGCTTGTGTCCTTGATTTTGTTTCGCTCAGTTGTTTACATCCAGGCTCCTGTTTTTCTTCTCAAGCCCAACACTGACCAATGTACTGACCAGGGCATTTTTCTCCCATCTTTTCCAGTTGATAACTGTCCGTCTGGAAGGAGACCAACCCGAAATCAAGTACTTGCCGATAGATGAAGACACACTGGATGGCATCACTGAACTGCGCGTACAATTCCAGTCTGTCAGTGACGATGACGCAACAACATTTGAGTTACATGTTCTGGGTTGCATCAAAGGTAGACCTTTAGAAATGTTCTTTTATGTCTAAAACTCGAAAGATATCTTCAGAACACTTTGTCCTGTTATTCGGCACCAACATCCGAATGTCACCGTTCAGGCGATCTAAATAAACCACCAAAAGATGTAATTTTGTTTCCTCGCAGACTATTCTGTCAAAGACTTTATGCTTTAAATACACATTTCTCAACATTATTACCATTTTGCATAGAATACACCACTCAGCCGACGACAAGAACCACCAGTGTCACCACCACTCTGATAACCACGACTCCTCCCTCATCAACAACCCAAGGTAAAGCAGGCCCAGTCATTGAAGATTAAATTGCCAACTCTTTTGCATCGACATCTCCATAGGTTTTGCTTGTGTTGGAAATGGGTTCTGTCTGGTGCCTGGAAACGTTTGCAGTTTATATCCCACTTGACCCAAATCGTTGGCTGTGTCTTGACGGAAGCCCTGTTTTCTCCCTGCAGGGTACTGTCTGGAATCCATGGATAGCGAGTCTGGACTTTTGTCGGATGTCAGAGGTAGAGGTTCAGTGTTGCCGGACAAAACCAAAGGTGACATCCAACTGACAGACCTTCCCATCACTCCGGAAGCAGAAGAGCCTTCCAGTCTAGACAGTGATTTCAATGGACGTGTCATTGCCAGAGCCATCAGGTTCAGGCTGCAATCCACAATATCCTCCACCACTCCGACAGGTGCTGGAGAAGAAATTACGCCTCTTGAAATCACTCTGACTTTGCTTGTTAAGAAGCCAGGAGATAGCGACTTCACGCCCGTTTTGGAAGGGGACACTACTCAAAAGAAGGTAAGAAAGCCCCCAAATCAACAGAATCGGGTTACACTCACTTTGCCCACTTTGCTTTCCCAGTTGTCCAGTATCTCATTTCTAAATGACTAAATTCTAAGCATGTTTGGTCCTCTTCATTGCACAGATTTTCAGAGTCACCCTTGACAGCGACTTGCCTGAGAGACTGCTGCTCCCGAGCGATGACACAGCTCTGAAGGGCATTGAGCAGTTGCGTATTGAGTTCCAAACTGTGACCGGTGGTGAATCAGCAAGACTGCAAGTGGAGGTTCTGGGATGTGCAGAAGGTAGGCTGCCCTAAAGGTTATTTTCATGTGTTTGTTTTGCTTGTTGGCTTTTTTATATGTTATTTACGGTTTCATCAAGTACATTTTGTCTGAAGTTGAACCTTGCAAGTTGCACGGAAAAAAACAGTTTGATGATATGACCTCGGGCCAAAGGTCTCACTACTTGCAAAATGCAAGGTATCTTTTTCATCGGCTCATCCAAGTACATATTTGTGTTTGCATTCTTTAGAATACACAACAACTGAAATGACCACTAAAGTCACCACTGTCACAACACCGACAACAACTGTCAGCGAAGAAACAACAAGCTCCCGAACCACGACGTCACAAATGTCAACTACTCCAGGTGAATAGTGTGGACGTGAACTTTTTACTAAAATTATCACCCTCGGACATTTCCATACCACCTCTCATCAAGCTTTTTCCACCCGAAATTACGCATGTCAGTGCTTTCTTTTCTGCATTTACCAACCGTTTCTGGATATTCTCAATGCAGGTTACTGTCTAGAGCCCATGGATGGGGAAAAGGGACTTGAACCTGAAGTTAAGGCGGCTGGAGATCTCACAATTGATAGTCAGACCTCCTACTTGACAATCACCCAGTTGCCAATTGACCCAAGCTCAAGTGATATCCCCAGCGTAGAGCTCCTCTTCCGTCAACCCATCAAGGTCACAGCAGTAGTCTTAGCCTCGCGTTCTCCTCAAGCAACAAGTGCACCCACGGGTCAGCCAGCAGCAAGCACAACCACATCCAGGACTGCTGCAGGGGAGAGGCTGACTGAGGTCACCCTCACTCTGTCCACCAAGAAGCCCGACGATGATGAATTCACTACACTGGTTGATGATAACACCAACCAGCCCAAGGTATTAATACAGCCGTGTTAAACACTTGGCATTGCTTCTTTCTACGACCAGCTTGTGTCCTTGATTTTGTTTCGCTCAGTTGTTTACATCCAGGCTCCTGTTTTTCTTCTCAAGCCCAACACTGACCAATGTACTGACCAGGGCATTTTTCTCCCATCTTTTCCAGTTGATAACTGTCCGTCTGGAAGGAGACCAACCCGAAATCAAGTACTTGCCGATAGATGAAGACACACTGGATGGCATCACTGAACTGCGCGTACAATTCCAGTCTGTCAGTGACGATGACGCAACAACATTGAGTTACATGTTCTGGGTTGCATCAAAGGTAGACCTTTAGAAATGTTCTTTTATTGTCTAAAACTCGAAAGATATCTTCAGAACACTTTGTCCTGTTATTCGGCACCAACATCCGAATGTCACCGTTCAGGCGATCTAAATAAACCACCAAAAGATGTAATTTTGTTTCCTCGCAGACTATTCTGTCAAAGACTTTATGCTTTAAATACACATTTCTCAACATTATTACCATTTTGCATAGAATACACCACTCAGCCGACGACAAGAACCACCAGTGTCACCACCACTCTGATAACCACGACTCCTCCCTCATCAACAACCAAGGTAAAGCAGGCCCAGTCATTGAAGATTAAATTGCCAACTCTTTTGCATCGACATCTCCATAGGTTTTGCTTGTGTTGGAAATGGGTTCTGTCTGGTGCCTGGAAACGTTTGCAGTTTATATCCCACTTGACCCAAATCGTTGGCTGTGTCTTGACGGAAGCCCTGTTTTCTCCCTGCAGGGTACTGTCTGGAATCCATGGATAGCGAGTCTGGACTTTTGTCGGATGTCAGAGGTAGAGGTTCAGTGTTGCCGGACAAAACCAAAGGTGACATCCAACTGACAGACCTTCCCATCACTCCGGAAGCAGAAGAGCCTTCCAGTCTAGACAGTGATTTCAATGGACGTGTCATTGCCAGAGCCATCAGGTTCAGGCTGCAATCCACAATATCCTCCACCACTCCGACAGGTGCTGGAGAAGAAATTACGCCTCTTGAAATCACTCTGACTTTGCTTGTTAAGAAGCCAGGAGATAGCGACTTCACGCCCGTTTTGGAAGGGGACACTACTCAAAAGAAGGTAAGAAAGCCCCCAAATCAACAGAATCGGGTTACACTCACCTTGCCCACTTTGCTTTCCCAGTTGTCCAGTATCTCATTTCTAAATGACTAAATTCTAAGCATGTTTGGTCCTCTTCATTGCACAGATTTTCAGAGTCACCCTTGACAGCGACTTGCCTGAGAGACTGCTGCTCCCGAGCGATGACACAGCTCTGAAGGGCATTGAGCAGTTGCGTATTGAGTTCCAAACTGTGACCGGTGGTGAATCAGCAAGACTGCAAGTGGAGGTTCTGGGATGTGCAGAAGGTAGGCTGCCCCTAAAGGTTATTTTCATGTGTTTGTTTTGCTTGTTGGCTTTTTTATATGTTATTTACGGTTTCATCAAGTACATTTTGTCTGAAGTTGAACCTTGCAAGTTGCACGGAAAAAAAACAGTTTGATGATATGACCTCGGGCCAAAGGTCTCACTACTTGCAAAATGCAAGTATCTTTTTCATCGCTCATCCAAGTACATATTTGTGTTTGCATTCTTTAGAATACACAAACTGAAATGACCACTAAAGTCACCACTGTCACAACACCGACAACAACTGTCAGCGAAGAAACAACAAGCTCCCGAACCACGACGTCACAAATGTCAACTACTCCAGGTGAATAGTGTGGACGTGAACTTTTTTACTAAAATTATCACTCTCGGACATTTCCATACCACCTCTCATCAAGCTTTTTCCACCCGAAATTACGCATGTCAGTGCTTTCTTTTCTGCATTTACCAACCGTTTCTGGATATTCTCAATGCAGGTTACTGTCTAGAGCCCATGGATGGGGAAAAGGGACTTGAACCTGAAGTTAAGGCGGCTGGAGATCTCACAATTGATAGTCAGACCTCCTACTTGACAATCACCCAGTTGCCAATTGACCCAAGCTCAAGTGATATCCCCAGCGTAGAGCTCCTCTTCCGTCAACCCATCAAGGTCACAGCAGTAGTCTAGTGCGTTAGCCTCGCGTTCTCCTCAAGCAACAAGTGCACCCAGGGTCAGCCAGCAGCAAGCACAACCACATCCAGGACTGCTGCAGGGGAGAGGCTGACTGAGGTCACCCTCACTCTGTCCACCAAGAAGCCCGACGATGATGAATTCACTACACTGGTTGATGATAACACCAACCAGCCCAAGGTATTAATACAGCCGTGTTAAACACTTGGCATTGCTTCTTTCTACGACCAGCTTGTGTCCTTGATTTTGTTTCGCTCAGTTGTTTACATCCAGGCTCCTGTTTTTCTTCTCAAGCCCAACACTGACCAATGTACTGACCAGGGCATTTTTCTCCCATCTTTTCCAGTTGATAACTGTCCGTCTGGAAGGAGACCAACCCGAAATCAAGTACTTGCCGATAGATGAAGACACACTGGATGGCATCACTGAACTGCGCGTACAATTCCAGTCTGTCAGTGACGATGACGCAACAACATTTGAGTTACATGTTCTGGGTTGCATCAAAGGTAGACCTTTAGAAATGTTCTTTTATTGTCTAAAACTCGAAAGATATATTCAGAACACTTTGTCCTGTTATTCGGCACCAACATCCGAATGTCACCCGTTCAGGCGATCTAAATAAACCACCAAAAGATGTAATTTTGTTTCCTCGCAGACTATTCTGTCAAAGACTTTATGCTTTAAATACACATTT